GTCTATACCGTGCGTGGTGCTTTTTCTCGCGTCTCTATAAGCACTGCATTATTATGATCCTTTCGCTCGGCGGCTTTATCTCATTTTGATAGTTTTTTTTCCTCCATTTCTATGTATCTATACGACTTAATTGTCCGTTTTACTGTACACAAATAATAAAAACGTGTCCATGAGTTTGGAGGTGGGATGTATGTGAGTAGAATGACCGAGTCCCTCGATAAAATCTACCCCCCCCCCCACCCCCCTCGAGATTCGAACTCGAATCTCCTGCTTGCGTTTGAGTTTGAGTAAAGAGAAGCACATCGGCTCAATGACGGTCATTCATTTAGTGCAGGGAAGAAACAAGACGGACAGACAGCACAGAAACAACAGAGGCAAAGAACAAAAAGTGCACGAGGACCTACCCTACCAGTGGCGCCCTCCAAACACCAACCTCCTGCGTGCAACAGCGAAGTGCCTAACCACTACACCACAATCCCCGGTACAAGCGCTGCTGACGTTTAGTTTCAGTTTAGGAAGAGTTTTACGGCGCTCGCAATTGCTTAAGGTCATGTCGCTACCTTAGAATTACAAAATTCTATCGGCTCAGTACCCAGTTTTGAGAAACGTACCGTTAAAAATATTGAAATCCACAAAATGTCAACCTCTTTCGAATGCAATTCTCGGAATATCTAGGTAACAACTCAGTATAATCTTCTGATTTTGATAGAGCATATAGAACATTTGGTTTCCGACCCCATAATGGTCTTAGTAACTCAAAACGGTAAAAATTGTCAGATAGAACTTGGTAATTACCCAGTGCCCATTGGCACGTTCGGTTCGCTTCGGTAGGTGGGGCTCGCCAGATCGAGGGCAAAAAGCGACCATCATGGCACAAACCGAAAGAAGCCGACGAGCCGACAGTGACCCTCAATTCTTCTCAAGGCCGCGAATCGGGCGATCGGTTTGTATTGCAGAACCGATCCCCCCAATGGGCACTGGGTAGCGATATGAGCGTGCGAGCGCTGACGTATATTACAGGATAATACAAGGTGCCCATTGGCTCAATCGGGTCGGGTAGGGTCGGTTTGCTAGCCAGATTGAGGCGCAAAGCGGCTATCGGGGCATAAACTGATCACCCGACTCGTCGCCTCCTCAAAAACAAACACGTTTGTTTTCAGGCGACGAGTCGGGCGATCGACCCGACCCGACCAGACCTGACCCAATCCTTTCCGTAATGGGCACCCGATATAACAAGACCAACAATGACAAGCACTTACCGTGTACAGGCCCTCGTTGTTCCGGGCGAGTAGCCACAATTCCTCCAAACGCTCTAAGACATCTACAAAATGTGTGCGTAGCTCCTCGGCGAAACGGATGGCGAGAGCTGTCAGGCTGCTCCCACAGACAACCATATCCTGTGCAGAGAAAGAGAGGGGAAAATTAGAAATACATTAATACAGCAATGCAAAATAAATAAATCAGTACGATATTACGGGTTCAACAAAGATAGAAATACATTTATACGGCATTGCAAAAAAATTAGTACGATATTATGGGTTCAACAAAAATAGAAATACATCAATACAGCATTGCAAAGTAAATTAATCAATGGGATATTATGGGTTCAACAAAGATACAAATATATAATATTAATACGACATATTATGAGTTCAACAGAGATATAAATTTATTATTAATACGACAATGCAAGGTAAAATTAATCAATGGGATATTATGGGGTTCAACAGAGGTAGAAATACATGTACATTAATACGATATTTTGGTTAGAGCAGAGACAGAAATAAATTTCCAATAATAATATGACATAGCCGGTTGAATAGAGAAATAAGTGCATTAGAAAGACATTGCTAGTTGAACACAGAGAGAGAGAGAGAGAGAGAGAGAGAGA